AAAATGCATAGCCTTGCCCGCACTTCTCGTGTATCTGTCAGGAAACTTGCCTGATAGCTTTTCCAAGCCAAAGTTACTAGGAGTTGTGCTATCGAATGTGCATGACTCAGGCTCCAGTATGCAAAATTCGCCAAGTTACGAGCCTACGAAAACATGTCCTCATGAATTTTGCCCAAAATGTAAAGATCGCATATTCTGAAGAAATCCCTCTGTGAGCATCTGTACAACACGCTGATCAAATCTTTTCACATGTTTAGTGGGTCTTATTGTGTTAGATTTGGTGCTTTGAGCTCTGACTACGAAATAGCTTTGATATTCAATTGAGCAGCTGAAGCACACGCAGCACCATATTCAGTACAGTGGGAATCGTTGGGCGAAGCGAACATGATATTCGCAACGAGCGTCATACAACCACTCTCGGTGGAATTTTACGAAGTATGCGATCTTTCCATTTTGGGCAAAATGCATGGGGACGTGTTTCCGTAGACTCTAGCTCGGCGATATTTGTGGATTGGAGCCTGAGTCATGCACCATTCGATAGCACGCTTCCTAGTATCTTTGTCTTACAAAAGCAAGCAGGCAAGTTTTCTGACAGATACGCTAGAAGTGCGGGCAAATTACGCACTTTCGTGATGCCGTTACAGTCATCCCACCGTATCTCTCCAAAAGACCCTGTATCCTCAAAGACCACGATTTTCTTAGAGCGTGTCCGAAAACCTCTATAAGCGAAGTTTCCTTACAATTCAAGAGCATCAACATTTTGACCGAAATCCATTGGCGAACTTCCAAAGCGTAAATCGAGAAAAAATGAAATAACCCGAACATATCGGAAAACTTGCTCGTAGAGGTTATCCGACCTGCTGATTTTGAAACTCACATCTGCTTAGCAAGATAGCTTCGTATCCTGGGGCTATAGCCAGTAGAATTTGGGACCAAAAAATTTTCCACAATTCACCAGCCGTTCTACTTCCTTTGAAAGGAAACTTGCGGCTACTGCTTAGCACATCATAATCTAGAGAAAACTACTATAAAATTCTTGCTGGAATTCACTCGGGACAATGCTCGCTGCTTTACACCTTCGCAAAAACACGTCCGCAGAAAAATGCAAGAATACTGAAATTGAAATATCAAGGACACGTTGTATATAAAAAGATTCGCCTTGATGAGCTGAGCAATGCGCTATTTTCGGATTCAAAATATACTTATTCCAAAGGAAATTATGGCGAGTAGAATTTGAAAACGCGTGATTTTTTCAGAATTCACCAACGCTTCCATCTCCTTTGGAAAGAAGTCTGAGCCTATTTTTTAGCGCACAGTAATCCACAAGAGCAGTTTATCGGACAGTACTTAGTAAAGTCTTCTATGTTGGATAGGCGCTGCTTTACATATTCCCGGACCTCCGCAGAAGAATTTTAAAATACTGGAAACGGAATATCGAAGACATCGTACCCCCATTTCCAATAAATCAAAAGATTCTCCGTCCCGACCTGAATCGAATGGTGGCTTTGGATTCAGAATTCGTCCACTCTGAAGCGAGATATGGCCACACGACGGTGATGTCCATACATGTAGCGACATTTCGCTACATTCGCGTCTATTTTTCAAAAAATGTGAGCGGTATTGTATTGTTTGCAAGGAAGGAACAAAGCCGGTGGAAATCGCATAGGTGTTGTTTAGACTTTTCGATAATTTTAAGCCCCTCAATGCTTGGAAAATTTGGACATTGAAACGCTTATGACTTCTTTCGAAAACCTAATCTACAAAAAAAGAAAGCAGATTTGGAATCAGCATACAAAGGCACATCTAATGATTTACATCTCATCTTCAACTGCTAACTAATTTTGGTATCCTTCCCTTTTGAGTTCAAAAATTCTTTCAAAAGATCTAAAAGGTGGTATGCGAACGATAGATGAGTTGAGAAGCAGAGCGAATACTTTCCTGTGGTAATATTCATAAAACCACTATGCAAATTGTTTCTTACGTTTTTTGCGAAATGTATTTGCTAGAAAAGTTTAATAGCACAATACAGGGTGTCCGTAAAAAATGTGCCTACTGTTTGATTGTGAATAACTCTCTTCTAACGAAGTCTTTCGAGAAGCTTTAGGCACCATTTTGTAGAGCGAGGATCAACTTAGATTTCCAGTATAGAGCGAATCACCGAGCTCTTTTTATTACTGTAGGATTACGGTAGGAACTTCGACAAGGATTTTAGGTCTTTGGAGGCCATAATCTGCCTCGAAACATAACCAAACAAGCCGGAAATTCTTACACTATGGTAATGGAATCCGCTCTTTTCGAATATGAAATTTCCACTTTACTGTGGTGCCTCTTTCCTAAGTTACCCCAGGTGAACCGTAATAACTGAATTTCCAGCATTTTTCAGAAATGTGATTACACCGTCAAAAAAGCTGAAAACACCCGTAAAAAGTTGTGTAGTGGAATCAGCGTGCGCGAAAACCCTAGTACACGATTTTTCAGATTTTTTAAAAAAAATTTTGTCAGGCGGCGTATTTCACGATGGTTCCATATGCTGAAAGTTCATACCATATTCCTACAGTAATAAAACGAGCTCGGTGATTCGCTCTATACTGCAAATCTAAGTTGGACCTCGCTCTAAAAAATGGTGCCTAAAGCTTCTCGAAAGACTTCGTTAGAAGAGAGTTATTCACAATCAAACAGTAGGCACATTTTTTACGGACACCCTGTATAAATTCTAGTGAGTATTGTACAGCTTGGAAAGAAGGGATCACATTCTTCTGATGGGAAAATGGAAGAGTTTGGAAAACGTTTCTGAAACTCCTTCAACCAAGAAAAGAGACTTGGGAAGAAAATGATAGAAAAAACTAAAATAGGGGAGAAATATGACAAAATAACTAAAATACTGCTAGATGTGGTAGCTTTCCGATAAAACCACTGAGCAAATTGATAATAAATAAAGCTGAATGTCTGTCTGTCTGTCTGTCTGTCTGTCTGTCTGTACGTATGTGCGGAATAGAAATTTTTATTTCTGAACCGATTCGGACCAAACTTGGTACACATACACTTCGGGGCAGGGAGCGTGTCATAGGCTACTTTCCGTTATCGATCGATATCGATTTTATCGATTTTTTGCAAAATTTGAGCCACGGGGCTGGGAGTTGGCACAGGGGGGTAATCGAACATGCTGATCACCCCCGTGGGGGTGATCAGCATGTTCGATTACCCCCCTGTGCAAAATCCCAGCCCCGTAGCTCAAAATTTGCAAAAAATCGGTGAAATCGACATCGATCGATAACGAAAAGTGGACTATGACACGCTCCTTGCCCCGAAGTGTATGTGTGCAAAGTTTGGCCCCGGGCGGAGCCGGGTTTGCCATCTAGTTGATAATAAACAAAAGCGAGGTGATGGTAAACTTCAAGTCAATATTTTGCAGGTGAGAAACTTTAAGTAACTAGAAAGCTCCCAGGAAACGGCAATAAATGCGTCTTGTAGAATTCATGGTTCGAACACTTCCACCTTCCCATATGTCATGCCGGCTGCAGAAAACAATATGTTTGAGAACGGGCCTCATCGAGCTAGCTGCAAATGCTGAACAATCGGAAACTAAACTTTTTGAAAAACAATCATAATCATTGGCTTTGTGCGAAAATACAAAACATAGAACACTAGCACTGCATTCTTTCTTCTCTAGTGAGTGATAAGTGTGGAGTAAAGGTAGTGCATGGAGTTTCCAAAGAGTAATTCTGAAAATGTTCTGCAAGATCACAAATACAAAACATCAGATATTTTCAAATTGCAGATATATTAGGTTGAACCGAAAGTTATGTCGTTACATTTTCAAAAATTTGTAACTTTGCGCTGTTTCAACGGATTTTTTTGCCTGTAATTTTATGAGAAAGAATAATTTTGCTTTCAAATGCTGTTTTGAGGAGCTTCTGTTTCACATTGGTTGCGGAGATAAAAATGGAAAACCCCATAAAGATCTGACCATTTTAAGTTAGGTCACCAAAAATCTGGAATGCTGCAGAAAAATCTGAAATCGTCAGTACATATGTCTTTTGACCTACTCTTCGCAACTGTGAAAAGTTTGTGTTGTTTGGACCCCTCTGTGAGAAGTTATGATTTCCACGAAAATTGAAATAATTAATTTTGGCGTTTTCCACAGTAAACTCGATATCATAAGTTCTCACAGAGACGTCCAAACAGCACAAACCTTTACGGTTGCGAAGGGTAGGTCAAAAGACATTCATGTACTGACAACTTCAGATTTTTCTGCAGCATTCCAGATTTTTGTGACCTAACTTAAAATGGTAATCTTTTTTTCTCCGCAACCATTGTGAAACAGAAGCTCCTCAAAACAGCATTTGAAAGCGAAAGACTTATTTTTTCTAATAAAATTACAGGCAAGCAAATCCGTTGAAACAGCGCAAAGTTACAGATTTTTGAAAATGAAACGACATGAATAATTTGGCACTTTCCCGTACATCTCCCTCGAACATGCCGTTCAACGTGCAGTTCAAACAGCAGCCTAATCAAAAGATACCATTGAATTTCTGATACCTCAAATTTATTACAAGACCCTCGAAAACTTATATTTTCACTAATGTATAGGCTACACAGAAATAATCAAAATGATAATGCTTTGTCTCAGAAAAAGCAATGTTTTCCTGATAAAAACAGTTTTTATTGTTTTTCGGTTTTCAACGCGCAGCATGTTTTCAGACCAAATACCAACTTTTATGTAATATGATTCGCATGTAAAAAAGCAATTTAGCAGACAAGCAGGAATAGCTTTATGTCCCAAATATGGCACAGCCCTAAAAAAATAATATCGACCGTTAAATTGTCGATATATAAATCTTTACCAGATAATGTAGCATATACTCCAAGTTTGCTCTTTTGAGTCTTTTTAACTGTTGTTGTGGCTCTCGACAGACACGTTCATCTTTAGCTTTTCAGCATTTTTTGAAAGTAAGATAGTTGTTATTTCAGCACTCAGTAACCGCGAGTCACTAGCAGCGATGCTCCGGAGAGTTATTCTTATGGTAAATTTCATGCAGCAGTCGCTGAATGTGCGAACTCGATTTGTGACACTTTCAAGCGTTGTTTGTCTTCCTTATAGACGCTTTAAACAGGCAAGGGACACCTGCTCCTTTTCAGCTTCCTCAACAGGAAGGAAATCATCACTCTCCTCGTCATAGTCCAGCTCCTAGGCCCGGTAGACCAAATAGACCTGTTAATGGTGGCCAACAAGGGAGACCCCCAGCCCAACCCCGGTCACCGCCTCACGCACAGCCGGCGCCACCCGATCATCCAAATTCACCAATTGGTGGACAACTACCTCCCGGGGCTCGTGATCAGAGGAGATTCCCACCACAACCTCGGTCACCGCCTCACGCACAGCCGGCGCCACCGGATCATCCAAATTCACCGATTGGTGGACGACTACCTCCCTGGGCTCAAGATTGATAAGCGCGGACTGTTTGTGATTTACTGTCCATATGTTGGTATGGAAAAGCATTGATAAATTTTTTCATGAAATTCATTCACAACATTAGGTAGTGAACAAATCTTGTACATTCATCACCATATATCCCGAGTGAGCGAAGTGGAAACTAAGTGGATGTTTACATATAGAAATTACGGTAGCACTAAAGTTTTTCAAGAAGATGTTCTTCGTGATTATATGGGACTATCATTACCTGATAAAGACATTAATTTTTTTGAGATTTTCTATGCATCAGTGGTATCCAGAAACACTACTGCAATAGGATCTTTGCACAAAGTTGAACAACTCAACTGTAACTCAAAAAAGTTGTAGGTAAAAAACGGAGACCAACTATACGTTGCGACCATCTGGTTTAGCCATATTCTTTAGGTCTCTGAGTGCGACAGCGTCGAAATGTCAGGCCAAATCACTTATCAACTCTTTTCGCACAAAAGAGTTAGACAGAGTTCATATAAGGATGAATAGGTTCAAGCAAATTAAAAATTGTAATGTACAGTTTTTTAATCCAGCCTATGCAGCTCCTCTCTTGATGTACAAGACATAAAGTGATCTTCACTGGAATGAAATGCGGACTTTTGCTAAAATTTTGAAATTCACCCTTGCTCATTTTCTCGGCCAATGCAGCTTAGGTGAAGAAAGAATTTGTCTTTTTTTTCAATTTTCAAAATCTCATCTTACCGCGAAATGTGTACTGTGTACTTTGGTAGAATTCTTCAGCTTTGGTGCATAGCACACATAAAATTATTGATAATGTGCATATAAATATCAATACTTACACAATACTTGGCTTAGCCACATTTTGTACCTTCGCTCAAAAGGATGAAAGGAGTCATGGAATCCAAACCAAAATCGGCAGACATTATGTATGGGGTGAGGCGTGTGCTAACAAGTCATTTTCTTCGGAATACATCGATTGCCTTCGTCGATTTATCGATTGTTTACAGTTGTTGCTTGGAAATTTTTCATTTTTATCCAAATAGGAAAGGAATCGTGGAATCTAGATCAAATTTGGCATGTATAATCCATAGGGTGGAGCGTGTGTTAATAAGTCATTTCGCTCGGAACACAAGGATTGCCCTTGTCTATTCATTGTTCTGCGTTTGCGTGATACCCGTTGCTTATGTAAGAAAGTTGAATCAACATGAACTGACAAAGCCTCAGTTCTTTTTTCTGCGCAAGTTATAAATCAAAGTAATTCTTGCAGAAAGGCAAATTTTCACTTTTCTGCAAAATAGAGTAGAAAGATTTACGAGGCAGCGAAGCGACCGAGTACCAGCCGAATCTGCAGGCAGTCTGGCAGCAAAGAGCGGCTGGCATTCAGGTATTGTATTGAATGGGCGGTAAAACTGAGATGCACCAACATCCGCTGGTGAAAGAAATGCAGCTTGAAAAAGTTTCATATCCTGAACCCCACAATTCCGGATTTCACGTAATCTATCTTTCCATAAATGTTTCTGCCAATCTTCACTGTAAACATATTAAACAGCAGGAAGAAGTTGTACAAGCCGCACTCTCCAGCTTTTTGTATGATCCGCTGATAATTCTCGATTGTCATCCTTTTTTTTCAAGGTCATTTTTTTTTGAAAGTGAAAACACTCCAGAGTGGTACGGATTATCCTGAACTATTAGGGTGATCCAAAAGTAATGGGGCACCTTGTTTTTTTTAATATTCTTCAAGATTTCTTTCTGATTAGCTATGAACACCCAGTATTTTTAACGCCTTTGTATAAAGTGACCTTCGCAGGTTATCTTGACAGCACCTTGCAGCACCTCACCGATATTTCAACGAGTGGCGCTTCAAAGAAGTCAGACAGACTTTTTTGAACGCCATCCGAATTTGGGCCGCTGCACCTGATAGTCCCTCGAATATGGCATACCTTTCGAAAGAGCTTTCCAAAATCTTTCTAATGATTACTTGAATATCAAAAAATTGCACATTATTTTATACAAAAAAGGCACTTTATTCGAAAAAGTGCGGTGTTTGGCGCAGATTTTCAGACTAAAATTCATGTTTTTAACCACAACCTTTTGGAAATGAGAAAAGTCAAAGTAATTTGCATATGTATGGATAGAGCTTAGAAAGCACTATCAGAAAGCAACTGCTAAGTTTGGGCTTATTTGATTACCTTGATGAAAGAATAAGTAATATGTCGCCTGATACCCGATGCTATATCTTCTGTTCTAAAACCTTGGGACCACCGAGCTATTGTGGATTTGGTGACAGTCCCCTCATTCATTGCTGCGCACGTATCTCTGGTAGGCTCACTTGTTTTACTGCGGCGCTGCTGCTCAAAATTACTTGAGGTGGTGAGCTCTGATTTTAAGCGCTTATAAAATTAACGCCATGTGACAGTGCCCAACTATGAACCTCGATCAGAAGGTTTTGTTATGTACTAACATCTGCCAAAACTTGGACTTCCAATTAGCTTTTCTATTTGAGAAAACTGCATTTATTCTCTAGCTGCCCCATTACTTTTGGATCACCCTAATAGAATGATCGAATTTTTGAAACCCAATTTTCGACTTCTGCTTCATGGAAATTTTGATGATTTTGATACATCAATTGAAATAGTGTACTTTTTTGCAATTGCCAATCTGTCTAATAATTGTCCCTATGGCTTGAGTCATACCTCAGGCGATTTCAGTCGCCATACGATCTGACAATTTGCCAAATGTCTTCAAATCTAATGCTGGTAGACCCCAGGGCGCAGCATGTTAAACTTTCGTAGATTGATAAAATGCCCTATTTTTTCGCACATCGGCCTATGGGCTAAATCGAAAGTATAGTGCCTATCGAGACTTGGCCTTATGACCTCAAGTCAAAACTCTAAAAACCGATGCTCCTGCCTTATTAGGAAAAAATACGGAGTTGCTCATAGAGATGCGAAGAATGCATACCACCAAATGAGCCCTCGGACGTTTAGTCTAGACCTATGGTTCTTATGTGTTGAACGACTCTCTGAGCGAATTGATGAGTGTTTGAAAGTTTGCCCTCATTATGATCTTATTATGTTTACTTTGAATGCGCATTGAGTTCCAGCATGGAGGCGGATGTTAATTTGGCGTTGAGTACACTGGTTAAAAGAGAAGCACGTTCACTTTGAAGTCAAATATTGTTCATTGATTCATTAAATAATGCCGTTAAATGTTCGCCGAATTTACACTTTCAATCGCTCACGACGTCCATGACAAAATTTTGCAGCAGATATAGAAGGCAGATTCGACACAGCTCGTAGTGAGAAACACTAAAATAAACATTCCTTAGCAAATCGCCAAATATGCTTGATATCAATCGCTGGTTAGCTAAGAACTATCCAAAAATAAGTAACTCTTTCAGTAAATGAAAATTTAACCCGTTTTTCCAAGTGAACTTTGGCGATTTGTATTTTGGAATTTTCTTGTTTGATTACAACAGCAGGAATCGAATAAATACTTCAATGAACCAGCTTTGAAAGAGAGGACCATTTAATAACAGTGTACTACACAGGATAGGTTATTCACAACCAAAAAAAACTTTTTCACAGCTATTATCGCGTCCTTGCAATGCAAAAAATTCAAAGTGGCACAGAAACATAGAAAACGTTCCCTTTGTTGAGCTTTGGATTGTGTACATTTGATTCTTTCACATTTCGCACTTATCATACGAAAAAGCTTTGTCCACTTCAGATGCATGACCTAATAATTGCTCTTCATAGCTCAGATCAGCTAGAGATTGAGGAAAGCTTTGAGTCAATGAGAACCGAAATTTCTCTTGAGAGACTCAAAGATGTCTGTAAACTATATTACACATTGATCATAGTCCAGGCTAGTGGTCCTTTCCCTAACTCATCATTCACAATTTAAAGGCTGCAGCAGGACGAAGGCGCAGAAGCAGTATTGCTTGAGCGGGCGCGAATACGCGCGCGTAGCTTCACCGTTGTAGATCCTGGGCTTTATGCGCCCCGCAGCTATTATAATAAAGCCGAGTTCGCTTTTGAAGGTATTGAGCCTTCGACATGCAGCAGCCTATACAGTGTCCAAAAAGTGTGAACACTGTTTGATCGTTAATAATTCCCTCGCTTTTATGTCTTCCGCCGAGCTTGAGGCACCATTCTATAGAGCGAGGCCTAACCTAGATCTGTAGCATGGAGCGAATCGTCGATCGCTCTTCATTAATGTATGATTACGGTAGGAACTTTGATAAGCCTAAAGTCACATTCTGCCTCGGAACAAAACCAAACAGGCCAAAAACTTTTATACATGGTTAATGGAAGCCGCTGAGTTCGAATATGAAATTTTCACTTCACTGTGACGCTTCTTTTTGTTAACCGAGTTTCCAGCATTTGTCAAAAATGTGATTACACCGTCAAAAAAAGCTAAAAACACTCGTAAAAAGGTGTGATATGGAATCAGCGTGCGCAAAAACCTTAGTATACGATTTTTCAAATTTTTTTGAAAAAAATTTCGTCAAATGGCATCTTTCACAATAGATCTACATGCCAGAAGTTCATACCGTAATCCTACAGTAAGGAAGAGCGATCAGTGATTCGCTCCATGCCACAAATCTAAGTTGAACATCGCTCTACAAAATAGTGCTTCAAGCTCGGCGAAAGACACGAAAGCAACGGAGTTATTAACGATCAAACAGTTGTTCACATTTTTTGAGACACCCTGTATACGTTGTATGCTTTTCTCTCAAAATTCTTCAAAAATCCATTATACCGAATAACATCGCCAAACTGTTAAAGGCAGTCTACTCAAAATTTTGCCTCCTATGTTTTTGCCATTCAGAGGGATCTTTCCGTGGCCCTGATAACAGTTATGAAGTTCAAATAGTTCAAAACCCCCAAAAACCCTATTCCTGAGGACCCCTGTCTTGAGGGACGGGGGTTTCAGTACATGGATGGGCGGAGTCTGATAGAATCTGGGCAAGGCCCGATAACACTTAAGCTGTTCCAGGCCCTTTATCTCCATTCAGGGA